TTGGGAGTTGTGGGGGTGGAGTGTCCGATGGTACAAAATACCCAGGCAGGTGCTTAGTTTTGGTGGGGCTGATGGTAAGGCCCCACCGCTTAGTGGCACGCTCCAGTCTCAGCAGCAGCGTCTCCAACTCCTCCTCTGAATGAGCAGCTATTACCAAATCATCAGCATACATAACGTGGTTGAGCAATAGGAAGCCATCCCTTGACCGCACCCGGGCGTCGATCAGCCTCCCATTATATCTGTACCATATGGAGATTCCCCCGGTACAGCTATTGAAGGCTTCACGAACTACGTGGTCAAAATAGATGTTAAATAATGTGGGAGCCAGAGGACATCCCTGTCGCACCCCAAGGTTAACAGGGAATGGCTCTGACTCCCGGCCACGTAGTTTTACCCGGGCCCGCTCACCATCATGAAGGTCCTTAATGATCGTGAGCAGAGGGTCAGGTACTCCAAAAGCACGAAGAACAACCCAGAGCCCAGGCCTACTGATGGTATCATAGGCCTTGACCAGGTCAATAAAGCAATAAAGCACACATCGACTTACACACACAGACACATTGACTCATACACACAAATCGACGCAGACACGCACATCGACTCACATGCACGCATGGACTTAGACGCACACATAGATATAAAAAAAACGTACGAACTAAATTTTAAAATATTAGTTGTCTACACACCCACACCACACACACATTGACTAACAGTGAGTGACACACATATGGACTCACACACACACTAATCGACTCACACGCACACATGGACTTACCCACACACACATGGACTCACACACACACATCGACCCACACACACACACATCGACTCTCACACACACCGACACACACCCAGATACATCGACTCACACACACACATTGGGGCAGACACAATAACAACCGCCATTCGCCACTAAGTGGCGGTGACGTCACCACAACGCTTGTGCCAGGCCATCGACTCACATGCACACATGGACTTAGACACACACGTAAATATTTAAAAATGTACTAACTAAATATTAGTTGTCTACACACACAGACCACACACCTACATTGACTAGCACACACACATCGACTGACACACACACACATATCGACTCACACACACACTAATGGACTCACACGCACACATGGACTTAGACACACACATAAAAAAAATTATACACCACGCACACACATTCACTAACACACACATTCACTAACACACACATTCACTAACACACACACATCGACTGACACACAGACACATCAACTCACGCACACACACATCGACTCGTGCACACATCGATTGATACACACACACACACACGGACGTAGACACACACACACATCGTCGCAGACGTGCACATGGACTTACACGCACACAAGGACTTCGACACAATAATAAATATATAATTACTTATTCTTGGTTCTTTCAGTAAAGTCACGTAGAAGGGAAACAATAAAATAATAAAAATATAAAACATGACTTTACCGAAAGAACCAAGAATATGAATCCCTGCAGTCACGAAAGCTTTAATTAAAAATATAATTACTTGCCAAGTTAATTTAGAAATATTAGTTGTCAGCACACAAACAAAAATATTGTAATATTTCCAAGGTGATTCTTAAAATAATAGGTTTCTATCAATGTGAGTTTAGCGAAAGAAGCAAGAAAATTGTCTTTATTGCCGTGGTGAGGCCAAGTCTCGGCCTCGCCTAGATTGCACAGCCGGCCGAGTTGACACCTTGGCAGCTGGGGCTGGACTGCTACCCCCCCCCCCCCCCCAGCAACGATGTCCCCACGCGTTCTGCAGTAATATCTTCGGCCTATAGTGGCAGCATCTACCGATTTTATAGTAGTAACTGCACGCATCGGGGTGGGGGGGGCATCACACTGTGAATAATGTAGCTCAGCGTTTTGTGTATTTTAAAAGCATTTTTTACGTGAAAGAAAATGTCCCCCTTACCCCCACCGAACACGTGTGACTTTGTAGGGGCCGTCCCCCCCACCAAAGGTGTGCGAGTTAGTATGGTCGAGTGCACATAATCAATAAATAAATAAAAATATCACTAGATCGCTAATTTTACTAATTTAAAGGTTACGGATGGGAAAAAGGAATAGCGCTTGCTCACCATGGGGCTTACCGTGTGGTACCTGGCTATTTTTTAAACTAAACCACCGTTTGAGAGCCAAATCCTTCGCAAGCGTGCGAATACGCACAGACAAACAGACAAAAAATTACATTTATATATAAGACTAGCGGGAACTGCCTGGCGTTGCCCAGGCGAAAAATATATTTCAAAACTTCTCTTTAAAACCTTACAAACACATACACAGATACAAAGGTATTGTGAAAGCCCGGTGGGCCGTTTGTCCATTTTTCCACCAAAAAAATTATAAGAGGCTTGCAGAAGTCCAAATAGTTCTCGAAAATGGAGGGTAAATAGTTGCTTTAAAAGGTTTCGAAAATTGTCGACCCCCCCCGAAAAGAAAAATGTTATTGTTGTGGTTTTCACACCTGATGATGATTGCTTGTGTTGCAGTCAAAACATCGTGAAAATTGTATTGTTTTATATATTTTTTATTTTATTGTTTCCCTTCTACATGACTTTACCGAAAGAACCAAGAATAATAACTTTATAGTAGTATCTGCTGACTCTATAGTAGTAACTACTAACTCTATAGCAGTATTTACTGACTCTATAGTAGTATCTACTGACTCTATAGCAGTATCTACTGGCCCTACAGTACTATCTACTGACTGTCGTAGTATCTACTGACCGTAGTAGTATCTACGGACCCTACAGTAGTATCTACCGACTCTATAGTAGTGACTACTAACTTTATTTTTTTTATTTAAAGCTTTCGTGACTGCAGGGATTAATATTCTTGGTTCTTTCGGTAAAGTCACGTAGAAGGGAAACAATAAAATAATAAATAATAAAACAATCAAATTCTGATGACTTTTCGACTGCAACACAAGCAAACATCAGGTGTGAAAACCACTTTACCAAAAGAACCAAGAATACTAACTTTATAGTAGTATCTGCTGACTCTATAGTAGTAACTACTAACTCTATAGCAGTATTTACTGACTCTATAGCAGTAGCTGCTGAATGTAGTAGTATCTACTGACTGTATAGTAGTATCTACTGACGGTAGCAGTATTTACTGACTGTAGTGGTATATACTGACTGTTTTAGTATCTACTAACTCGAAAGCAGTATTTACCAACTCGATAGCATCATCTACTATCACTCCAGCAGTGCATACCAACTGGTGGTACCTGCACTCACTACAGCAGTGCATACCGACTGTGGTAGTACCTGCTATCACTGCAGCTGTGCACACCGACTGTGGTGGAACCTGCTATCACTGCAGCAGTGCATACTGACTGTGGTGGAACCTGCTTTCACTGCAGCAGTGCATACTGACTGTGGTGGTATCTGCTTTCACTACAGCAGTGCATACTGACTTTGGTGGTACCTGCTATGATTACAGCAGTGCATACTTACTGTGGTGGTACCTATGATTACAGCAGTGCACACTGACTGTGGTGGTACCTGCTATGATGACAGCATTGCATACTGACTGGTGGTACCTGCTATAATAACAGCAGTGCATACTGTGGTGTTACCTGCTTTCACTACAGCAGTATATCCTGTGGTGGTACCTGCTATCACTACAGTAGTACATGCTGACTCTATAGCCGTATATATTGACTCCTTAGCACAAACTACTAACCTGCCTTGATGAGGCCTAATCCTGTGCAAAGTCCTCTGGCCTCGCCTAGATTGCCCAGCCGGCCGAGGTGGCACCTTGGCAGGCTGGGCCGCTACCCACCCCCCCACCATCCCCGCGCTACAATAACACTATCTAAGCGCTATAATATTAGTATCTACCGACCCTATAGTAGTAAGTGCACATATTGGGGTGGGGGGGGGGGGACATGGCATTAACCTCAGCGTATATTTTTTTGCATTTACAACGCGAATGAGAAATCCCCCCTCCACCGATGATTTTTGTGCTTTGCTAGGGGCAACCCCTGGGCAGCTTTAGTGCTGTGTGAGGAAATAATTTAATAATACAAAAAATTCACTTCATTGCTTATTTAACTACGTTAAAGTTGACGGATGGGAAAATGGAATAGAGCAGGCTCACCACGGGGCATATGGCGTGGTACCTGGCTTCTTTTTTTTTACGTAAACCCAACGGTTTGCAAGCCAAATCCTTCGCAATTTCGTGTACACACACAGACAGTCAGACGGACAGACAAAAAAATACTTTTATAGGTAAAATAGACACAATTTCAACATAGATGATGGGTACAAACTCAGCAATCACTGGAAGGACGGTATCAACCAGTTAAAGTCATAACTGCTGTAATGTTTTCATTTTTAACACTCTCTATCCATTGTTGGCCTAGACTACTACTTATATAGCTTGATCTATCCACTGCTGGCCTAGACTACTGGCTATAGCTTGCTCTATCCACTGCTGGCCTAGACTACCTCTAGTAATAGCATACTTTATCCACTGCTGGCCTAGACGACCTCTAGTACACCATTCCTATTGCATGCGCTATCCACTGTTGGCCTAGGCTCCATCTCTATAGCTTTTGCTCTGTCATGGCTTAGACTCAATCTCTATAGGATGCTCTATCCACTGCTGGCCTAGACTCTTGTGCACCACCCATTCCGTTCTCTGTAGGATGCTCTATCCACTGCTGACCTAGACTCTTGTGCCCCGCCCATTCCGTTCTGACACTTGGGATACGTCCACTTTTAAACCTTTATAAACAGTTGCAGTTAGAGGCTTACCTCCCTTTTCTCCCCGCCTGATGATGTCCGCTTGTATTGCAATCGAAACGTCATAGTTTTTTGTTTTTCTTTTAATTAATTTGAACCTAGTTACATGACTTTACCGAAATACCCAAAGAATATTAGAATCTGCCTTTATCTGAATTTCCAGCCATTCACGCTGTGTGCATGCGGGCGGTCGGGCGGTGTGCACTACAGACCGAAGGAAGAGGGGCAGCACTCGCCCCCTTTGCCAACGCAGCCGTCCCAGGATTGTTCGACTCCAGGAGGGGGTGGCGGCGTACGCGTCAAGATGGAGCCAGACTCGACGCCGTCGCTGCGGCGTTCCACGCGGCGTGCGCCCACCGGGGGGGAGCGCACACCGGAGGGGGGCAGTAGCCCCCAGGCCAAGCGCCGTCTCATGGACTCGGCCCACATGCCTCGTCTACTGCAGCAGCTGGACAAGAGTAAATGCCCACATTTGCTTTCTCGGCGTGCACTGACCCTTCCACACAGTCTCCTGCCGCTTCCGCCGCTGCTGCTGCTACAGCAGCTCATTGAGAGGAATTAGCGGATGTATGTTGAATTTCTTTCGCACCGTACATAGCCAACCATGCTAATCGGAGGTGGGGGGGAACGACAAAATAAACACAAAAAGCAGTTCTGAAGAAATGGGTTTTCAACCTTGATTTAAAAGTGCATAGCTCCAGTGCCTTCCTAATATCGGAAGGAAGAGCATTCCAGATGGTCGCAGAAGCGCATCTGAAAGCGCGCAATGCAGTGACCGTCTTTGTTCGATGGTTAGCCGAAAGCCGCTGTGAGGATGACCAGAGTTTGCATGATGGTTTATGCTCCTTGACAAGGTCAGCAAGGTATTGTGGTTCATTTGTAGCAAGCACTTTGCATGTAAAGATGATGCTCATGCTGTGCATGTGATGTTATGTGTGCTTTGCATAATGGAACAACTCATTAATAATCCTGTGTTAAGTTTTCGGCCATCACGCACCCACATCTTCCATTGTCTGCTCTTCGTGGTCGGATCGTGGGTTGCCTGACATTGATGTATGCCCTAAAGGAGTTCACTCTTGTGTGCATATGGGCTATAAAGGTATTTAGTGGGCATGCAACATTTCATCAGTCAATTGCAATTCATGTAGCGTGTGATTAGTTCATGAAAGCTTTGCAGCCACTATAGGGTCAACATTGAGCACAAAGGGAAAAACATTTTTAATCGTGAGTTGTGCTGGGGAGACAAAATTGGTTTCACAGTTTTCATTTTGGTTTTCATGTTGTGGATGTGTTTGGTTTGTTTATTGTTGACATGTTCACTTTGTCCCACTATGTAGCTATTAATTACGTGCCTCATATCAGTCTACCAGCAACCTGGATAATGTTCAGTGAGAGATTTAGCCTTAATAATAGTCACTAGTGTAGTGTTCATGTTAATCACTACACCCTCTGAAGCAATAATATAATTGATTGCTTTATAAGTTATTTCGATTGTCAAATAGTAGCTTTAGTGTAAAGGTGTTCTGTCTTTTTGTGATGTTTTTAGATTTTAGTGCTGGTGTTTCAGTGTTTTACGATGTATGGCTTTCATGCCGTTGTATTTAGTCTATTGCCTGTAAGTATAATTATTGTTGAATATGTAGATGTGGATTAACTGAATCCTCTCATAATGTTGTGGAATTTCACTCCTGGCACAGGGCCATCAACAAATAAGTGTTTCCCCATGCTCTTGTGATTATGGAGGCACATTGACTTTTTTGGTTGCTGTAGTTATTGTGTGTTGTCTTTGTGGAAAGTAGTGTGGCATGCTGCCAGGGTTCAGTGTCACTAATCGTGGTGTTTGTATGTGTGTATGTTGAACTACTTTCGCACCATGCATAGCCAGCCGCACTAATCGAAGGTGTGGGGGAAGGACAACAAACTAAACACCAAAGCAGTTTTAAAGAAATTAGTTTTAAATCTAGATTTAAAAGTGCATAGCTACAGTGGCTTCCTAATATTGGAAGGAAGAGTGTTCCAGACGGCCGCAGAAGCACATCCAGAAACACACAATGCAGTGACCTTTGTTCAATGGCGAGCAAAAATTTGCTGCGAGGATGACCGGAGTTCGCGTGATGGTTTCATGTTCCTTGAGATCAGCAAGGTATTGTGGTTGATTTGTGCCTTAGAGCTGACACCAGGTGCAGCAGGAGGCGTCCCCTTACCTGGGGTGATCCACAAAGAGGGCCTGGTGCTTGAGGGCCGCAAGGGAGCAGAACTCAATGAGGTAGTACCAAACAGCACTGCACAGCCACACCGATGCACACTTCCACCAGATTGCACCTTGTTTCGTATTCATGCTCATAATTCAGTGGGTACATTTCCCTGTGCCAGAGCATTTAGCAAAGACTATCGTTGTTGGTAGAAGTCCATGGAGACCGAGATTTATTTTTTGTTGCCACGTTTCTACCACCATTGGGTCGGGGTGCTGGCTCTGTGTACAAGTACAGGTGGTCAGGCCTGGCGGACATTCACAGCAGCCCTACCATGCCCGCTTTCTCATTTTAATTATGGAACTGCATCCTTATTACCTGGCCCAACCGCAGAACGTGTTGTAATATCACGCGCTGTCACTGGAATCGGTCTCTTGGTTTAGCGTCAGCAATGCTTGTTTGTGAGGGAAAAAATAAACTGCAGAAAGTTACAGAAATAATATCAACTGAGGACAACAAAACCTTCGGCAAGCACGCGTAAGTTATAACAATTGTTATTTTAATATTGCTTCCTTACGGCCATCGTGGGTGGGGAGGGGCCGGGTGGGACTGAGCAGAAACAGCTGAGTCCATGGAGCCCCGTGGCTCATGATATGTGGGAACGTCGATTGCAGCTGTGACGCCGATCCTAGGCTGCCAAGCCCGCTTGCCACAATGGTCTTTGGAAATGTAGTATCGTGGGCCTGGGTAGCCAGACCTTAAATACTTAGTGAGATACCCTTTTCAATGTAATTCCGACTACACATTTCATAATTTGGGATTTGTGTCCATTACACAATTGCACCATGGCTTATTCTCATCAGTGATGTCACAGGGTCATCAATGTGCGCTTTGCAACAGACTTTGGTAATTGTCTGCAGAAAATACCCAGCAGCTGTGGGAATGAAACCGGCGACTCCACACAAGCTGGCTCAGTTGCGAGCACGCTGACCACTAGGCTTTCCAGCCGACTAAGTGTACGTTTTTCACAACACTCGGAAGCACTGTGATGCGCAGTATCACGTCTCTAATTCCCTGCCCTCATTAACTGCTGTGGGGTCTCGCAGGTGCTCAACTGGAGGCTTTTGCCAGAAGATCACCCGCGCTATGACCATCCGCCACCTCCGTCGTGCATTTATGGCTCCCAGCATCTGCTACGCATGTTTGGTGTGTTACCATACGATACAGATACCTTGCACAGCACTCCCAGCAACTCCAGCCCTGCTTAACTATTCGCTAGGAGTACGTCACCTTCCGAGAATAGATTATGTCTTTGCTGCTTTGCAGCCTGGCCTCTTTCAAAACAGTTTAAATGGTACACCATAGGTGAATTGCAGGTTGCGTGTTGTGGCCTAAACTGTGGGTATGCCCTCCTCCTTCAAGATGTCTGGTTAGTGTGGAGAAGGGTAGGCCAGTTACCCTCTAGACAGACTCTGTAGAACTCCATCTTGTGGAAGCCATTCAGGCCCATGAGCAAGAAATTGCAAGGCCTGCACCTGTGTTTTTTTTTTATGTAATCAGGTTTCTGTAACAAAGTCCCCATTGAAAATGAGCATTTATTGCCCAATGGGTCTTACCTGTGCCAAACTTAAGCAAAATAACCTAAACCTTAACATATTTACTCACTAAGGCCAACCCAATATTCTATATTCGCAACTACAGCTCGTATAGAGTGCCCATTGTTGATGCGAACAACACGCAGCTGTTATGTCCAAAGATACAATACTATTGACCAAATTACCAATTGGTGAAATTACTAAACTTAGCTTAGCATAGTAAAAAAAATGGTAATGCCCTATTCAAACGGGCATAAGTTGTGTTCATTCCTATTTACATCCCTAAGCCATTGGTTTTAATACTCTTTGGTTCTATTGGGTAAAGTCACGTAGGTGAAAATAAAATAACAAAAAATCACGACGTTTCGGCCACAACACAAGCGGCCTTCATCAGGTGAAGGGACGAGCCTGTCTGGAGGACAGCGCTGGAGTGGAAGAAGCCACGCTTAGATCCACTCCAGCGCTGTCCTCCAGACAGGCTCGTCCCTTCACCTGATGAAGGCCGCTTGTGTTGTGGCCGAAATGTCGTGATTTTTTGTTATTTTATTTTCACCTACGTGACTTTACCCAATAGAACCAAAGAGTATGGATCCTAGCAGTCACGAAAGCTTTAAATCTAGAATCCATTGGTTTTAAGTCTACATTGTATGTATATTGAACTGCTTTCACACTATACGTGGCCCACCATGCTAATCGAAGGTGCATTGTTATGGCAGGGGCAAGTCACACTGCACCATCACTCTTGACTTTCCACAAAGTGGTACTCACTTTATTAACTACAGAAAAATCAAGCTACTTAGCAGCTTTCAATTATGAGCCACGTCCTCATTGTACAGTACCACTTGGCTGGTTTAAGTGTAGAGCAGTGCACTTGCCATATGTTGGAGATAGCACTTGTTCACACACACGTGTGTGTGTGTGTGCGCATGCATGTATGATCACAGTGAAGCTTCCGGAGCTGTTGGTGAAGATGAATCTACCAGAGAAGAATCTCAAGGCCCTTTTAAAACATCTTGAGCTCTTCCTCAGGCAAGGCAGATGTAGCAGTTGTGCAGATTGCTTATACCGCCTCTTTAAGACTGAACGGAACGAAACATTTACATCAAGAAATTATTTGTGCATTATTTGAATGATACAACTTTCTACAAAGCATACAGCTATTGCTAAACTTAACCCAACCACTATGACTGTTATCCATTTCTTTACTGTTTCAATTATTTTTATAAAGTGTAACTTCAATCTAACAAATTTCGATGTAAAGCTTTCGTGACTGCAGGGATTCATCTTCTTGGTTCTTTTGGTAAAGCTTTCGTGACTGCAGGGATTCATCTTCTTGGTTCTTTCAGTAAAGTCACGTAGAATGGAAATAAAATAATAAAAATAAAACAATGAAATAAAATTCTCACGACTTTTCGGCCACAACACAAGTAGCCTTCTTCAGGTGAAGGAACAGAACTGTCGGGACAACAGCGCTTCAATGAAACTGCTAAGCATCGCAGCGTCTTTTGAGCTGGGTGGGATGAGCAGAGCACCTTGACAAAGGAGTTTACATATCAACAGAAAAATTTAGCATTGAAGTAGCTGTGTTAATGTGTTGGATTAGCAGGGTGTTAAAATCAGAAATTAGCATGTAACTGGGAGTTTAGCATGATGTTAGTGCGAGGGATTAGCATGTAACTGGTCACGGAGGTAGCTATGTTAAAGTCAGTTTACATATCAACAGAGGCATTTAGTATATTGATGCTAAAGAACTGCAACTACCCCAAATATACAATATCATACAATAAGCCGAAATATCATACAATAAGCCGATGTGGTTCCAGACATACAGTACCTGGGCGTCTACAAACTAAGTTGCCTCTGTGGTAACAGCTACATTGGAGAAACCAAACGACATCTCGGAAAGCATCCGTGAACATAAAGCAGACTTGAAACACGGTAGGACGAACACCTCAGCCGTGGCAGATCACTGTTATAATTCAGTGGGCTCACATGACATTGACTTCTCCAAGACGGAGGTTCTCTGCAAGCCATCCGGCTACCATGAGAGATTCGTTCATGAGGCCATCCACATATACAAACACAGAGACAATTTCAACCGAGAAGATGGATTCTGGCTTAGTAACCATTGGAAAGACGTTATAAACCATTTCGGTTCTTGATTGATTGTATTTTACGGTGACTTTCAGACCGCAGTCCATTTACTGGCACTGTCTCTTAATACGACGGTCAGTGGTATGGTTTATAACATGTATAATAAGAAATAGTATAACAGTGTAATGTTTAACATAATTCATAAGGCAATATATAGTATCGTAATTGTATAGTGAATACACAGCAGTGTGATATACAGTAGGGTTAGTAGAATAATACATAGTGTAATATTACAAGTCTAATATTTTATAGTCTAAAGTATAGGGTAGTGTATAGTAATGCATTGTATAATTCAAGGGTGGGGTTTGTCTATGGCAGTGTATATTACGGTGTATAGTCGTGTAATGTAGAAAAAAGTTTAGTTGGAGACATATCAATATAATGCATAATGTTAGAGCTTACATTTGGCTGTGTATACGATATTATACAATGTAGTTTAGATTGGAAGGTATAACATTGTAATGTATAGTAGTCTAGTCCATAACATAGTTGTAACGCAACACAGGACAGAGCAGCGCATCGTGGCTGTTTCTCCCCCCTCTTCCGTTCCGAGCATAGATGGACTCATCCGTCTGAACAAAGCTCGTCGCTTTCCGTGGTGCTAACGTTAAAAGGAAAAAACCGCCACCTTTTTTCGACATAGAATTGTAATGTATAACGACTTATTGTTTGTAGCTCAGCTGATTGGAGAGTATATTGAGTTTATTGATAACATTGATGTAGTTTATGTTCGTTTTTTATCAGTTTGCTATATGGTATTCATATAGTATAGTGTATACCCAGTTACTTTATGTTAATAGCTCCACTTACTGAAGAATATATTGAGACATTTATTATATTGATGTAGTTTATACTTACCTCTTTCACATCGGCTTATTGTATGATAGTTGGGTAGTTCTTTAGCATCAATATACTAAATGCCTCTGTTGATATGTAAACTCTGACTTTAACATAGCTACTTCCGTGACCAGTTACATGCTAATCCCTCACATTAACATCATGCTAATCTCCCAGTTACATGCTAATTTCTGACTTTAACACCCTGCTAATCCAACACTTTAACATAGCTATTTCAATGCTAAATTCTTCTGTTGATATGTAAACTCCTTTGTCAAGGCGCTCTGCTCATCCCATCCAGCTCAAAAGATGCTGCGATGCTTAGCAGTTTCATTGAAGCGGTCGTCCTGACAGTTCTGTTCCTTCACCTGAAGAAGGCTACTTGTGTTGTGGCTGAAACGTCGTGAGAATTTTATTTTTATTTTATTATGTTTTATTTTTATTATTTTATTTCCATTCTACATGACTTTACCGAAAGAACCAAGAAGATGATTATCCCCATTGCTCTAAACTCCTGTTCACTTGAATGTATGAAAAGTTGCCATCTGTATTTTAAAGCACTATGGTTTTCTTCCAGCAGGTTTTTGGCAGATTACCAAGAGGACTTTTTTCCAGAATCGGCTTATGTTCCAGCCTCGGAGGCTTACTACAGCAGCAAGCATATCGCCACTATCTTCTGACGCTCCGTCCGAGGCAAACACGAGCCCGTTTGCCTTGTGTTGCCTTCTACCGTCAGCAGCCTCTTTTGAAAACTCCCAGTGCCAGCTTAACGCCTGAAATGCCCTCCGCCATTTTTTATCGGTGTGCTCCTCAAGCAGCACATTGTGACATTCCACGTGAGCACCTCTTGACATCACTCGGCATCGCCGCCAACATCCGGTGGATACAATTGTTAACTCACCACTTTGACCTCCCCCACTGGATGCCCCTCAAAGCTACTGATGGCACCTTTCAACTCCCTAAACGTTCGACTGCTCTTCTCCCGTCTGTTTCCAGCTGGTGTTGGCCAACACCGCAGCTTCTGCCAATACCTGTGGAAGTATTGCAGCAGGAGTGTCCTTGTTAAGGGGGACATCGGAGGTGCAGGAGGCTTGAATGGGTGACAATTATACCTCTTTGTACATACTCGACAAACGAGCCAGAGCTGCGGTGGCAAAAGAAGGCACCGGTCAACAGCGTTATCAAAACAATGTGCTCCATACACACCTTTACACAGGTTTGTAATGTCACCTCGTTTCTGATGGTGTTGAGTTGGAATGCTGCCCTTGGTACATTTTGCATATTCTGACCACAGCAGGAAGTGACATTCCACAGTTGCCTTCCTTGCCCTTGGAAGGAGGGGTTCTACAGAATCGGCAAAGTGTTTTGTGTTCTTTTTTGTAACAATGGCCTTCAAACCTTCACTTCACGCTTGTGTGTCCTTACCACATTGCAAGTGTACCGACAGATTGACATGGTTACAGAAGACATTTAAATACATATTCTGTGGATGAATAATGAACAAAAATGCACAAGACTATGAAAAACAGAATTGTCCATCTGGATGACCTCAACATTATTATGCTGTTGGCTCTATATCAGCTAACAATCCACCTGTAAAATTTGTGAACATAATCGCAATATTAGTGTTAAGCTGACATGGTCACCGATTAACAATCGCAACTCGAGCATGTGAATTGACCAATGCTGTGAAAAATGGTCTGAAATGTAGCCCATCTGTAACCTGGCACCTTGCATCCCATTTGTCTGCAATTCCAGCAACATTTATTTTGGGGGTTTTTTGTTTCCCCAAAACACTCATCTGTGCAGTCACGAAAGCTTTAAATCCCTGCAGTCATGAAAGCTTTAAATCGAAACTCATCTGTGTAACATTATTCTTCTCTATTGCTGTGTTTCATTGAGCCTGGTTACTTCGATTTCCTTAACCTTTGTTTGAAAGGCAAGTTCGAGTACATTACCGGCAAGAATACTTCTGAACATTACAGCCCCCTTGGAATACTTAACATGCAGCAACACCTGGCAATGATGATCGGGAACGGTGAACGCCATAACAAATAGTATGCCGAGGTTTTGAAATGGCATCAGGACCGAGATATTGTTTTGTATATTTAAATTTGTTGTACTTTGATTAGGTGCCATACTTTTACGAGCAATAACTACAATGCATTCGCCACCACTTTGTCCTTTCAAGTTAATGTGTTCGCTTTTTTAAACGTTAGTTTGTAAACCAATATGCGAAAGCGCCCTGTATGTTCTTGCCATCACGGCTGGACAATCGAATCATCAATATAACATTTTAAATAAATGTGTTTTTACGGCCACTGATGCAGATATATTTAAGTGTTAAAGATACATTTTGTGCTTCAGTAATATTTGTACTTAAATCCTAGTTTAACCAAATTTGACATACGGTTTATTTCCTGAAATTACCAACGGCAGGTCTATAAAGTTCCTGAATATTTGTCCCTTCATCAGGGACACTAGCTCAGAGGGAGTGAAAATATAATCTTGTGCACCAACGGGTTATCCCATGAGTCACAGCACCACACTAGATGAAAATGTAAATAGCTGAGCACGCAAGAGCATAATCCACCTGGTACTGTAATTATCACCTGCACAAGTTTCAGCAGAGCTCTAGGTCAGTGTTATTGACACATGCAAGCTTTTTGTTGTGCTTGTGCACCACTGCCAATGCAATATCAGAAAAAACATTGCTCTACGGTGTGGGTTGATGCGATGTTATTCGGTTATGGCGTCCTTATGTCAAATACTGATGTTTATTCATCGCTACCAATTAAGATATGCCATATTTCAGACTGCCTGTTTTCCCCCCAAATTGCTTCGCAATAGCAAATGGAGACTTTCAGCCACACATCCTGTAGTTTATCATTACTGCATCCCAGAAGTCATCGTCCACTCATGCAACACAACCACTGTGATGCTTGAATCATCAAAATCTGCCCCACACTCCCAACACCTGTATGTGGTGAGATAAAAAAAAACGAGTTATTCGAATCAGGAAACAGATTTTAAAGTAATTAATAAACGTCCATAATTAAATTTGAACACGATACTAAATAATGTAGATATGTTTATTTGGACAGGATATGTTTGATTTGCATTAGGATGGAAATGCAACGAGCCATCAAGGCAAACCACCGCGGACATAAAAGGCTTAGTCTGCAATTGAGTGGCTAAGGTTAGACAGCTGTTTTGGTGATGCTTGCAACTGTGATGTAAACAATGTGAGTGAAGGTAAATATAAAACATTTTAAAGTCCCATCTGTTGATTCAGGGTCTTTATTATTTGGAAACTTAAGGTACTGTAATTTAAAAACATGATTTTTGCGGTTGTTAAAATGAACAAACCACCCTTGTACAAGAGATATACATAATCCTATAATTCAATATATGCATTACTTTATGACTTGAACGCCATTGAAGGGTGTGGACAAATCTGCAAGCAATAAAGGTAGTCATCCCTGCAGCCGACGAGCAGGCAGTCCCCCCATGCAACGGGCGAGGAGAACACTTCCCCTGGCAGTCTGTAGGAGCATACAGGATTCCCCTGCTCATCAAGCACACACACTAGCCCATCTGTGCCTGCCGCTACTACAAGTCCAGCTGGGCAGACCTGGCAATGCACTTCGGTGGGGCCACTCAGGCCAACTGAGGTGCCTGGGTTTACAATTGGAGATGGCGGCAGTTCGTGGCTTGTGAATGAGCCTGTGGATGCAACGGTGTTATATTGCAACAGGCAATGTATAGCATCTTTTTCTCTGGTATTATGATCCACAGCAGCTCCTGTCAGGGGGAATCTCTCTTCAGACCCCTTCACTAAACCAATGGAATCTTCCAACATGGTCCCAGGCTGCCACGTTGTGCCGGTGGTGTATGCACTTTTTGCATATTTTTGAAAATCCAACGCTGTTGGCGAGACATCCGTAGTTGTGGATTTAAGAACACGGTCTCCATCCGTTGCCGGATCATGACTATGAATGATGTCCTCCGAGCCACCGTAACACGTGATTCGGCTCCTTGAAGGTTGAACAGCGATGAGGTGTCCAATGCAAACCCAGGTGCACGGCGTCGCATAGACTGGTGCGCCGAGCTGGTGCTTCCACTGCAGCTCCCCGCTCGCCGACACCGCGTACACGCTGCCATCGTGTGATCCGAACACCACATCCAGGCGATTTCCCACAATGCACGGCGACGAGAAGACTGGTCCATCCGTCCGGAATTGCCACATCTGCAGCAACAACCAACAAGCACCACGTCCGTTTCCACCTACTGCAGTCGGTGACCTTGGATGGTAACTTGGAAGAATTTAAATGTATTCAGGAGCACGTGAACATTTTATGATTGGCCATGGAGATGGAGTATTATCATCACACTTGATTACCCAGGAAAGCCTCACCGAGTTAGAAAACTTTTTGAGGATCCTAATTTGTTAGCAGCTTTTTTGTAAGTAATCTTTACATTTTAAACCGTGAATCACCATTGGTTGCAATCTTCTGCAACCAGTGGTGGACGCACTACTACTTGTCGGTATTATTTATATGTACTGCACTGATTTGTAATTCGATTTTTATGCAAAATCCATTGGAAAGCTGGATAGCTAAATGGTCATTGTGTTTCCCAATAAGTTCGTTTGAATGGACAGAGTTGGTTCAGTTTACACAACTGAACTGCCGAAGCATGCCACATGCTTTAAAGTGGATACAAAAGTAAGCACGGATGAATCGGTAGAGCTGATAAATCTCACAACCCTGTGCCTGGAATTGCAAATCCATTCTTAAAACAGAATGTGATTCTTAATAGGATTGTGGGATCAGTGCAATAGTGGCATTGTTTGAGGTGGGGGGGAAGGTGGGCTGCACAGAGGCCACTGTGGCATTCAGGCATTAAGGGAGGGCCCGTTGGGGCCTGGCCGGCCTGGGTACGGTCAACCGACCATGGATTGTGCTAATTCATTCCAATCCTGGGAAGGGTGAATCATTACATTCCGGACTAGGTAAGCCTAGCGGGAAGGCAGGCATTAGTGGCAGGTGGAATGTTTATCAGGGTGCCAGGTTGTATTAGTCTGTCACCTTGTCTCCCATGTGACTGAAGGTGTACAGACTCCCATCTACGCAGCCAACACACACATATGCACAGGAGCACGCCGGCGAGGAGAACAGAGGTTTCCCACAGTCGCGACTCCACAGCATGGCACCATCGTCCTGCAACACACAAAGAATGCACACTGCACGCCTGTACACACACGTAGCAGCGACTGGCGAGTCGTACCACAGCGAGTCCCCTGCCCCCTACGCTGTAGGGTGACCTACAGCGTAGGGGGCAGGGGAGGCGGTAGTGTAGCGGTTAGCGTGCTGCACTACAAACCAGGTATCCCGAGTTCAATTCCTACTAATGGCTAGATTACCTGAACCTGGGCCTCTCCTAGATCGACTCAGCCTCAAATGACTACCTGGTGCGATGTGTAAACATTGCCACTGGGGATACAAAGGCGGTCGGGCGTGGTGCTGGCCACCCACCCCCTCGTGTGCCGTGCCGGCCTTCATTGGTGCTCGCTAACAGCACTTGCCCCAACAGTCTGTTAACGCTACACGGGGGATCTTTGTTTTTGAACCTTACGTAGCCAACCGTGCTAATCGGAGGTGTGGGGGGAGACAAAAAGCAGTTCTCAAGAAATACGTTTTCAATTCAGATTTAAAAGTGGATAAGCTCCAGTGGCTTCCTAATATCGGAAGAAACAGCGTCCCAGACGGCCGCAGAAGCGCACCTGGAAGCGCGCGATGCAGTGACCGACGTGTGCACTCACCGGATTCACGGCCAGCAGATGGCCTCCCAGGGTGCCGACGTATGCGGCGCGTGGGGTGAGGCTCACGCAGGGTGACGAGAACACAGAGCCCCCGCCACAGTGCAGCCGCCACACGCACGTCTCGTCCTGCGACACACGGCATTCCCGGGCGCCTGCGGTCAGCGTGGCCCCATCGCGCGCTAACGCACTCATACGTGAAGGTGACGGTGTGAAAAGCATGTACTCGCGGCAACAATAACCTCCGCGAATGCGTGATCATACATAGCCATGTAATGTCATAATTCATTACAAACTGGTATTGCTGTTTGGCTTCTATTGCACATGTTGAACGCCTGCTGTTATCTGCAAGATTATCCTAAACTGTTTTGAGCCAAACGTGCACAAACATTATCAACTTAGCCTTGACGTATAGTTGATAAGGTATAGTATTGTACTTATAAAAGGCCGAGACAGCAAACAACACTGAACCTGGCTGCCTTTACCTCTTTTCGTCTGATGTTCACATACAGAGCACATTTCTCATTTGAGGCCAAGTCAATGTAGAAGCCAAGACCTGGTTCGGATAAAAAAATGACACTGGCATTGTCCAGGGCCACAGATTGAACCCAGATGTGCATGCGATCATAGCTTTCACTAAGCTACAACTGACCAAATGTACACTGCATACAGAAATACGATAGACTCACACACAAGATGGCTGGGTAGCTCAGGGAAGCGAGTGTCTTGCCAGAGCAGTGACCTGGCACTGCTGGAATCCTGGGTTTCAAAGTGGGCAGCCATCCGTGATTTACATCAGGTTCTCAAGTGTAGTGAGACAATGAGCTCAGCGTGTCACCAATGCTCACACACACACAAAAGCTATCATTACATTCGTTCTCTCACAATAGCCAACCTTTTGTAGCTCTATGCTGTGAATATGAAAGGTGTGTCCAAATGATATATAAATCGGCCTCATGAAGTGATTTCAGAAATGGTTCTGCGATGCCATCATACTATAGCTGTTCTCTGACACAGCAGTGATATGACAGTGATAGCACAACTGGGGATAAATGGTAAAAAAAATCTAAAATACTGTAAGTGTAAGGAGTACACCCTCCAAGTGATTAAATCTTGCAGAGCTAGGCAAATTAAGAGATTTGAAACTGGTGGTGGCTGGGTGGCTCAAAGGTCAAAGCACAGAGCTGATAGCGCCAAGATCCTGGGTTCGAATCCAGGCAGCCATCTGCGATTACATCAGCTCACTAGACTTGCGATTCTCAAGTCTATTGAGCTGTTGGTCTCAGTCCGGTCACCAATGCCAGCACTTAATTTGGCTAAAGTCAAGTTCTGAGAATTATCGTGTGACAATCATTACTTTCACATGCACAGCAGGTGGAAATATGCTGCCACCTACTGTGCGGATCAGAGGTTACTTGCTGCTCTGTGATAGCCTATTCCGTGGACCATTATCTCAACATGATGGTGGTTTGCACTTCTGCACGAGAGATCCGATTGGATTCTTCATCTCATTATGTGATATTGATAGCACAACTGGGATAAACCTGTGGGGTGTGGGGAGGGAAATATTAAAACATGTAATAAAAGACATGAAACTGGGGAATGCAGAAAACAGCGGTGTGGCCAGTGGTGGGCAGATCACCGAGGGACGGAGGGCGTAGAGCAGCTGGTCGTGGGAGCCGACGAGCAGAACGCCGGAGACGGGGTCCAGGGCCGGGGAGCTCTTCACGGGGCCCCCCGTGCGGAAGGCCCACGCCACCGCGCCCGAGTCCGCTCGCAGTAGGTACACGCAGCCATCATAACAGCCTGCAAGCGCACACGCCATCGAGCACTTGCCTCAACACTCGTCCACGTCCACGAGCCCACTTTCCAACACAGCGCTGTGCACACACCGGAGGCATGGCGATTTGACGTGACGATTTTCCGTCCGAGCTCTGTAGCTTTAAATCATCTCGATTGAAAACTAATTTCTTGAGAACCGCTTTTTGTGTTAAGTTTGTTGCCCTTCCCCCGCACCTTCAATTAGCACGTTTGACTACGTACGGTGCGAAAGAAGTTCAACATACAGTATATACCACGCGGATCCATTACTGCATTGAATCGCTAGATCGATTCATTCATAATCTGAACTGTGACCCAGAACCGTGAAATTGAATTGAATGATTGAGGCGGTGAATTGATATATCCACGTTACACACAGCAACCGAGATTCAACAGTACCTTTACTCTGCTCACTACTGCATCATTCACATCAGCTCTATTCACCTTCTAGATATCTAATATTTAAACTTACATTAATTCAGACGGTTGCTGCAATGGTATTCTTTCGCACTGGCTAAACAGGCTACAATATACCTATCCTTACTATCCTTTCACTAGCTTCCCATTCACATGCTGTTATCCTGTACAGAGACTGGCCCCTGCCACAGGAGTGTGGAATTTCCATTAATAAAAGAGCA